TATCTATAAAGAACAAGATAGTGGGTATTTTAAGCTTTGAGGGCCACGTGTGTCTCTGTCCAACCACGTGAAAGCAGCCATGGACAGTATGTAAACAAGCATGCCTGCTGAGCGACTTAACTGAGAGGGAGGGGCCCTGCCAGCGAAGTCAGTCTATGAGAGTGCTGAAGGCTTGATGCCTGGCAGGAGCTCTGACAAGTGCTGAAATCAACACTCGATTCTGACACCAGATGCTACAAGAAGCGGGCTGGGAGGGGCTGCAGAACTAGGGACTGCCTGGTTGGCCACCTCCCCTTCTTCAGGAAGGGCTGGAGCATGGGCATAAGACATGGATCCAAGCAAAGGAGGAGGGGTCCACCCAACTATTTACTGTTGATAGGGAACTGGTTGGATCAGCTGCTGCCCCATTTTTGAACTGGCTGATAAGCAAGGCACTGGGGGCTGGGTCACCTTCCCGGCTTGTTCCAGACCCCTTAGTAAACAGGAATGGGGCTCAACAAACACCGAGCAGGTAACAGCTTGGGCTGGGAGGAGGCAGGGACCGCACTTAACCTGTACATTCCTACCTTGTCCACTGCCCTTGGACCTGGCTGACCTTCCCGTGGGTGGTGGAAGTCAGGAGAAGTAAAGGTCTGAGCTCCGGGGGAGAAAGGCATCCGAGGATAGGGTTCTCCCCCGGCGAGAGGAGCTTGGAGTGTGGCTGCAGAGGAGGGGTGGTAAATACATGCTGTGTGAAGGTCAAGAGTGTGACCGAGGGCAGAAGGCTGCGCTGTGTCAGCTCAGGTTCAGGTTCTTCCCCCAGCTGAGCTGATGGGAGAGGACAGAGAGCTCAGGAAAGGATGGCCATGCTTTTACAAGGTGGAAGGTAGGCATGGGACTCTTGGGCTGGCAAAGCCCGGGAGCCTGGATGACGGCCTTCTGCCCTTCCCAGGGTCTAACCTGCACCTGCTGGGATGCAGTGGAGCTCATCCATCCTTCTTAGTGGAAGGTTCTTGGCTTAGGAAGAGGGCAAGGAGGCGGGAGCGTGCTGAGGCTTCTCTCCCCCAGAGGCCCCTTGGCCTGGGCTTAAGCTTCTGGACTCTGGAAGGGGTTCCTCTCTGGTGTGGGTGAGATTCTGGAGCAACTACAAACATGCGTAGCAGGGACCCAGAACATACGGGCCAGCAGAGCTGTTGTGAGGCCCATGACACAAGGTGGCACAGGGCCTGTTACTCTGTCACAGCAGCCAGAGCTGACTGAGGCAGTTTGCCTCCTTCCTGCCTTCCACGGGTGTTGACCTTCAGGGCAGCACATGGCCCGCACATCGACTTCCATCTCAGAGCCCACTTCAGGGGAGATGACATTATGCCCGAGAACAGAGAGCCAGCCAGGAAGTGGCCCCGCCCAGCCAGGCTCTTCCTCTCCTCATTTGGGACCTCAACGTGGGGGCTGGGATGCTGCTGGTTTTCTCCCGCTGTTAGCTGACCTGCTTGTCCTCAGGCCGGAGTCACAGAGCAGGAACAGAACCATCGAGGCCTGGGAGACATGGCCTGTCGGGCGGAGAGCCAGGCTGGGAACCTTGTTAAGTCCACTGTTGGGGTTGTCGCTGGTGTCTGACGCTCAGGTGCCGCAGCTGGGAGAGTAAGTGGGTAAAGCTGATGGATGAGAGACATGCTCACAGTGGGGGCGCTGGCCTGCAGGAGGTGGGACGCAGGCTGCAGGGATGGTCCTTCTCAGCTCCAGTTGACTGCTGCCCTATTGCCAGAGCTTCAGTTGTTAAAGACAAGCTAAAGATCCTGGCTTTTATGCAAAACATTCTCAATTTTAAGTGTTGGTCCCATTTCTCAAAAACATACAGTTGGATTTTTTTTCAATAAATATATTGGAACTTTTTTTTTTGGAAACTTGAGTCAATTTGGAAAAAACCTGCAGACAATCTGTGTAGCCTAGAAATATATATATATTTTTAAAAGAAAAAGTTAGGTATGTCATGAATGCATAAACCATATGCAGATACTATTCTATTTTATCATTTACTACCATAAATACACACAAGTCAATTATAAAAATTTAACATTTATCAAAACTTATGCACACAAACACTGACAGACCATACATGGTGCCATACAGTTGAGAGAAATGTAAACAGATGTAAAGGTACAGCATTCAATCGTAACTACATAAAATAATACAATCTGCGCTACTGTAACAATTTTGTAGTCACCTCGTGTTGCTATTGCAGTGAGCTCAAGTGTTGTGAGAATCCCCTTTAAACAGTGACATTACTCATCTCCATGTGAGCAGTTTGTCCCTCTAGTAAATTTAATAAGGAAGTAAAAGGTGATCTCTGGCAGTGCTCACATATTCTTTACTGTGTTTAGTGCAATACTATAAGCCTTGAATAACACCGTGGGACCCATGCAAAGTGCAGCCAGTGATGTTGGAAGCAGAGAAAAGTCATGATGTTACAGGAAAAAGTGCATTGCTTGATACGTATCATAGGTTGAGGTCTGTAAATGTGGTTGCCCTCCATTTCAAGATAACTGCATCCAGTGTAAGGACAGAAAGAAAGAAAGAAAGAAAGAAAGAAAGAAAGGAAGGAAGGAAGGAAGGAAGGAAGGAAGGAAGGAAGGAAGGAAGGAAGGAAGGAAGGAAGGAAGGAAGGAAGGAAGGAAGGAAGGAAGGAAGGAAGGAAGGAAGGAAGGAAGAAAGAAAGAAAGAAAGAAAGAAAGAAAGGAAGAAAAGAAAGAAAAGAAAATTCATGAAGCTGTTGCCGTAGTTTCACCACCATGTGCAATAACCTTGAATTTTTTGTAAAATACATTTTTATCTCGTATTGAAAATGCAGCTTTTATATGAGTGCAGGATTGCTCTAAGAAAGGTGTACCTATAGACTCTAATGTGATTCAAGAAAAAACAAAACAAAAAAAAAGAAAAAGAAAAAAGAAAAAACAATGTTATTTTATGACAACTTAAAACAAGACGAAGGTGAAGGATTTGAAGCTGGAGAATTTAATGCCAACAAAGAACAGTTTGTTCATTTTAGAAAGAGGTTTTGGCTTAAAAATGTCAAGATAACAGAAGTGGCTTCTGCTGAGCAAGAGGCAGAAGACACGTTTCCAGATGCCACTAGGAAAATCATGGAGGCCCAGCCTATCTGGCTCAGTGGTTGAGTGTCAGACGGTGCACCAAGAGTGGCTGAGTGTTGCCGGTTTGATTCCCAGTGCAGGGCATGCAGGAGGCAGCCAATCAATGATTCTCTCTCATTATTGATGTTTCTATCTCTCCTTTCCTCTCCCTTCTTTTCTGAAATCAATAAAACATATATAACAACACAAAAAATCTATTAAAAAAACAACAACAAGACAGTTATTACTAAAGAAAAGAAGCAAGCACCAGGATGTAAGGCAGGAAGAGGGAGGCTAACCCTACTGTTTTGTGCAAGTGCAAACGGGCGTATGATCAGGGCTGCCCTTACAAGTAAAGCTGCTAATCCCCAAGCCTGGAAGGGAAAAGATAGACACCCACTGCCAGGATTTGGGTTGTACAACAAGAAGGCCTGGACAGTGGAAACCCTTTTCCTGAGTTGGTTCCATTGCTTTATTGTCCATGAAGGCAGGAAGTAACTTGTCAGTAGGGACTGCCTTTTAAAGTACTTTTGATATTGGATAATGCCTGTGGCCACCCAGAATCCCATGAGCTCAACACTGAAGGCATCAAAGTGGTCTACTTGCCACAAACACAACATCTGTAATTCAGCTTCTAGATCAGGGGGTTAGAAGGACCTTTAAGGCTCAATGTACCGTACTCTATGGAAAGGGTTGTCAACACTATGAAAGAGAACCTCAATAGAGAGAACACAATGAAATTCTGGAAGGATGCCATTGTTGTTATAGAAAAAGCCATGAAATATGCCATCATTGTTATAGAAAAAGCAATGAAAGCCATCAAGTGTGAAACAATAAGTTCCTGCTGGAGAAAACTGTGTCCAGATGTTGCACATGACTTCACAGGATTTACAACAGAGCCAATTAAGGAAATAGTAAAAGAAACTATGGATATGGCAAGAATAAAAGGTGGGGGGGTGGAAGGTTTCAAGATATGGGCCTTGGAGAAATTCAAGAGCTAATTGACACCACACCAGAGGAATTAACAGAAGACAAGTCAATGGAGATGAGTGCTTCCAAGCTGGTGCCAGATGATGAGAAAGAAGATGTGGAAGAAGTAGAGCCGGAAAATTAATTGACAGGCAATCTGGCAGAAGGGTTTTGATTACTCAAGTCTGCTTTGGACTTATTTTATGACATGGACCCTTTCATGATACAGGCCCCGAAATGAAAACAAATAATGGAGGAAGGATTGGTACTGTATAGCAACAGTTTTAGAGAAATAAAAAGTCCAACAAAACATGGTGAATTTCTGTAAAGTTACACTGAGTAACTGCCCTCCTGTCTCCTTCCCCTTAGCCTACTCAGTGTGAAGACCTTCATGATGATAAAAAAGAATCTTAGATCACTAGGAAAAAAGGGAACTCCCTCAACCTGATAAAGTGTGACTATAAAAAAGCCTACAGCTAACATCGTATTTAATGGTGAAACACTGAGTACTTTTTCTTAGATCAGCAACAAGATAACATGTTCACTCTTGCTACTTCTTTTTCATATTGTACTGGAGGTTCTACTCAGCTCTATAAGGCAAGAATGAGAAACAAAATGCATCAAGATTGGTGAAGAAGTAAAAAGCATTTTTGTTTGCAGATGACATGGCTGCCTATATGGAAAATCCAGGGAATATACAGAAAAGACACTAGAACTAATAAATGAGTTTAGCAAGATTGCTGGATACAAGGTCTAGATATAAAAATCATTCTCTCTGTAATAGCTACATCAGAAATTGAAGTAGAAAGTCAACACCATTTATAGTAGAACAAAAAATATTAAACAGGGATTAAATCCATAAGTCCTATGGGCTGAGAAAACTACAAAACATTTTTAGGAAAATAAAAGAATACCTAAATAAACAGAGATTCTTTGTTCATTGGTTGGAAGGGTAAACTTTGTTAGGGTGTCCACTGTATCCAAATTGATCTATAGCTTCAATGCAAACTCAATCGATTTCCCAGAAATTTCCAAATTCATATAGAAATGCAAAAACAAACAAGCAAAAAACAGATCAACCGAAGGACTTGTATGCATGCATATAAGCATAACCAATGGACATAAGACACTGGTTAGAGGGGTAGAGGAGGCCAGGGGATTGTCAAGGGTGGGGGAAAAAAAGGACATATATGTAATACCCTTTGTAATACTTTAAGCAATAAAAAAAAAAAACCAACTTGGAAAAGGAATGAATTTGAAGGACTAAAGCTACCCGATTTCAAGCATTATTTCATCTACTCATTTGCCATCCTTATATCTTCTTTGATGAAATGTCTGTTCAAATCTTCGTCCATATTTCTTTCAAGATGCTTGTTGCTTATTATTGAGTTCTGTGTAGGGGAGCAAGGTTAAGGACATCTGTCCAAACCTGCCACGTGGTTGCTGGGAAGATATTGGAAGCTTGGGGCCTGCCTTATGGGCTTTCTGTCGCAGGCAGCCGAGAAGAGAAGCCTATCCCTGCTATGGGGAAATGAAATGTGCAGAGCAGTGAGAGTCGCGACCAGGGGCCGACCAGAGCTTCGGTGTGCTTGGGACTAGTAGTTAGAGAAATGCAAACAAACAAGAAAAAGGCGGGGCCTTGTGGTAAAATTACTTCATTTTCCTGTCCACCACAGCTCTTTGCTGCTGAAAGCAGGGCTACCTGTTCTAATATCTCCCTGTGCAGGGTGGAGGGCAATTTGACTTACTATAGCCAGGGTTCCTGGGTCCCCAAAGCTGTGTCTGATACTAACCAAGATGCCCTACTCATCACAGGGCCCAATGTAAGAAATGCCCAAACCTGTAAGAAATGCCCAAACCTGTAAGAAATTTTATGAGTTTACTAGAGGCCTGTCGGTGCACGAAATTTGTGCACTTGGTGGGGAGCGGGTGTCCCTCAGCCCGGCCTGTGCATTCTAGTAGTCCAAGAGCCCTTGAGGGATGTCTGACTGCTGGCTTGGGGGAGCGAGCTTAAGCCAGCTGTCGGACATCCTTGGCACTGCTGTGGAGGCGGGGGAGGTTCCCGCCACCGCTGCTGCACTCGCCAGCTGTGAGCCTGGTTTCTGGCTGAGCGGTGCTCCCCCTATGGGAGCACATCGACCATCAGGGGGCAGCTCCTGCATTGAGCGTCTGCCCCCTGGAGGTCAGTGCACGTCATGTGACTCATGTGACGGGTTGTTCTGCTGTTTGGTCGATTTGCATATTAGCCTCTTACTATATAGGATTTGAGCCAAACTGACGATTACTGAGAAGCAAAATCTCAACATGTTGAGAAAATGCTCTGGAAAATGGCAGTTTTGCATTTTATTTCATACATTACAATCAAAAGAGGAGGCATGAGGGGGTTGCATAAAATCCATTGGTGATAGATTAGGGAGGTAAGAGAAAGCAAAGCGGGGGAAACCTCTGGGGTTAGATAAAAAGTGAAATGATAGACACATACTTCTTACACATAGTTAGGTATAGGATAGCTAACAGTCAACAATTAACATGATAATAACAATTAGGGATTTGTGGTTTCCCCTCTGGTGTGGTGCTTGTGCTTTGAGGGATTGGGAGTTATTGCAAAGGTGTGCTATCAGGCATGTTATCCTAGATGTAAAAAGACAACAGACAGGCTCAGTTAAAAAACTGACCTTTGTTTGGGAAAAATACTGTCCTAAGACATGACTACCCGCCTTGAACTGCTTTTAGTAAAAAAAAGTTTTAATTTCAGATCATCCTATGTGGTTACTCTAGGTCTCTGCGTTTGTAAGGCTGCCACACAGGCCTCCCCTGAGCTAGTCAGGTTTAGTATGCGGCCCCTTTTCATCCACAGGGTCCTGGTGATTCCAGAACTGGCTTCTGAGGCCCCATGCTGCCCCAACAGGCCACCACAACTGGAAGCACACACAAACCCCTACTCATTTGCTCAGGATGTAAGAGAATATTATACAAGGGGCCGCTGAAACTACAGACATTTATTTTCTCACAGTTCTGGAGGCTGGAAGTCTGAGATCATAGTGTCTATCCCCGTGGTCATCTTCTCCCTGTATCCTCACATGGTACTTCCTCTGTTCCCGCCTGTACCCTAATCTCTTCTTCTTATAAGTGTGGCAAGATAGTAAGAAGCTAGAAAAATTCTGGGCAAGTAGAATAGAAAAGCTGAGACAAGAAAATCAAATAAGGACAAATAGTTTGGACAGCTTACAACCAGCTTTGAATCGCAAGATCTTATCTCCCCCAACCAAGGACACTTGAGAGCGAATGACTAATACCTCCCTTTCCCAACCAGAGAAGACATAGCTTAACTCACCCTGGAACTGCCAAGGCAGGAGAAGGGGAAAGGGGAAAGGAAAGAAGGGAGAGTTTTATCTCACCCAAACAAGATGCAACAATGTAGAAGGAAGCTTTGAAACCTAATCTGCTACCCAAGATATCTGGCAGAGCAACCTTGAAATTGGTAAGAAAGATATAAAACTCCTTGAACTCCTACTGGGCCCATGCTGAGGCTAGCTGGGTGCCGCTTGTGCTATATGCCAAGTGTATCTATAATAATAAAAGCGTAACATGCTAATTAGGCCAGATGTCCTTCCGGACGAAGCCACGGTGGAGACAGGGGGCCGAGCCCTTGCACGAATTTTGTGCATTGAGCCTCTAGTTTTTAATAAATTTGCTTGCCTTGCTTCCTTAATACATTCACTTGCTTTGCTTCAACACTGCTGTCTGTCACTAATTTGAAATCTTTCTTATGAGATTGAGAAGAGCCGGGGAGGGGACAGCCCTCTCTCCTTCTGACTCAGGAGACTGCCCAGTAACATGGATTAGTGACTGGGATCTGAGTGGGATTGCTGCTAGCTGATCCTTATTAAAAAAAATTAGGAGATATCCGCAATCCTAGTTGCCTGGTTTTCTTTGAGTCCCTCTGACAGATCAGTGAGTTCAGTCCCTTCGGGGATTTCTTTTTCTGTTTTGCCATCAGGGTTTAGGGGGTTGCAGCATAACGAAGATTAGCAAGACATACTGGGCCTGTGCCAAGGACAGAAAAATTGAAAGTAAAACCAAATGAGTGCTTGGGCTTGCCTGGGCTCTGAAGAGAAAAGAGGCAAGCCCTTCCTCTGGTTTGAGTCTCAAATGGCCTCACGTGAGTAAGGGCCTCGCTGAGGTGTCTAGAGTTGAGCAGACACCTAAGATGTGCAGGGGCCTCATAGGGCCTTCCATTTCACTTGTAATTAACTGGCTCATTCAGACACGCACATCAGGGTTGGTCACTCAGCGCTCTGAGACCTTCCAGTTGTCAACCTGCAGCTCATCTCTGCCCCGCGTGGTTTCTGGTGGCTCTATCTGCATCTGTATTCCCCTTGCAGGAAATGCAGAAAGGGAGATGGTTGTGTCTGTCGGGGACAAGGGGAAGAATCAATTGGGGGCCCCTCAAGTTTCAGAAATATTATCCTAAAAACTCAGAGGAAGTCTCTCCCTTAGGTTGCCTTTACAAACATTGTCAAGAAAGGCACTGGCCAGAAGCTATCAACGGACAACTGTTGTTATGTAAACAAAGGCTTAGGCAAGCTACCCTGGTTAAACCAATGGAGGCTAAGATCTTAAGGCTGTTTGCCAGGCTGATCTGGGCCCTTTACTACACCCTTTAATTAGGGGACTGGTTCCATGCGATAAATGGGATAAAGGGATCGTCTTCATGTATGTACTATGGGCTCTGATACTAACTTTGAGACCCCCCCCCCAAAAAAGTTAAATATCTTGAGAAGGCTGACAGGCACAGCAGGGAATGTTGGTTTTGTCCTACTGAACCTTATAAAAAAATAGGGGGATATCAGTAAATTACCTTCTTGGATATGGACAAAGGCATCTGCTATGCATGGCTCCATGGGACCCACAAGACTGGGGGAGCAGACAGGAATGGCAAGTTTTCAGACACTCCAGTGGACAAATATATTTGGTAAAATTTTTTGAGGGAATGAGAATATTGCAAAACCTAGAAGGATCCCATCTTTACGATGACTGGTGATACTAGAAATACTGAAATTCTTGCTCCATCGGGATCTTTGGCAGGAAAAACAGGTCAGTAACTCGTGGCATTATTGCCTCAGAGGAATAGAAGTGCACCAACAGGTATTAAATTAAATGAGAATAGAGACACAGGGACACTCAGCAGTCCAGATGGAGTTGTGTCCCCTGTCTGAGTGGGGCAAAACCCAACATCCTGGTATTGGTAAGCCGTCCTCAGGACATGGGATAGGCCCTGCAACCGGGAATTTGGGTTACAAAGTAAGACCAGTTAATTCTGGAAACCCAGGCCAGAGAAGACGCCTTCTCTGGGAGTGGAAACCATGGAGAAGGAACGGGTATGCCTATTCTCTCCTAAGATCTTTCTTCTCTTTCAGATGGGAAACCAAAATTCGGTACCACAGATTTTCCGCTGGGATGCATCCTAAAGAACTGGGAAAAGTTTGAGCCTCAGACTTTAAAAAGAAAAAGGTTAATTTTCTTTTGTAATACAACTTGGCCCCAATACCAACTCAGGAGCAGGGAAGTCTGACCGATACATGGATCTCTGGATTATAACAGCATTCTCCAATTAGATTTGTTTTGCATAAATGAAGGCAAATGGGATGAAATAGCTTATATGCAAAATGTTTATAGCCCTTTACCAAGGTATAGATTTAAGAAGAACTGATAGAATGTGTATTGCCACAATATGAGATGAATTAAAGGGCACCTTCCTCACAGCCCCAGCATGATGCTGGCCTCTGCCTGTAGAGAAACAAAGCCCATCCCAGAGGCAGAACAGCCTGCTTCTCAGCTCACTCCCCTTCCCCAAGAGGGAGGAAAGGAGCGAGAGACAAAGAGAGACAGAAACATCAATGTAAGAGGGAAAATCAATTCATTGCCTGCCAT